GCTGAAGCGAACATTTCAGAAAGGAAATAGAGCAGAGCCGTTTCCCAACCATGTGAACACCGAGCGGGAGAAGCTATCAGCCCCAAAGGACCCCAATCCCTGGGGCTCTCTCGCTCCCACTGCCGCTCCCGCTGCTGGGCGGCCACTGCCCTTGTGTCCTCAGTACCCAGAGGACTTCCTCAGAGCACAGCATGGTCCCTTCCTTCCCCAGAAGCCCGCAAGTTCTTGCTGTTCAAACCAGACCTGAGGAGTCTGCGGTGTCCCTGTGTTGGGGGTGGGGTGTGTGGGGGTAGGTAGGTTCATGGTGGGGCGTATCTAATGCCTTGTGCTTTCAAGTAAGAAAGATAACAGAAATAGGTAACATTTAAAAAAGAATTTACTAAGCATCGGGTGCTGAGTTAAACACTTTATATGCATCTAAAATATTTAATTCATAGGAGGTAGGTACTATAATCTCCTTTGGACAAATGAGGAAAGTGTGGCTGGTTTCTCCTTAAGAGAACACAAAATTGCCCTTTCCAGGTAAACATAAATGGCCAGCACCCTTTGAGCTCAGAAGGCCTTCTATTAGTACTCGAATGAAGCCCGGTTGAATACATTCCTTCTTGGAATGTGTCTTCTATGGAAGTAGGACACAAAGGGATGGAGAGGTCAGCTTCTAAGAGCCCTGAGGGCCTGATTCTGGAGGCAAACTTACCGCATCTATGATGCTCAGACACAGGGCAGCGCTGAGGCAGCCTGCTCAGCCCCTCTTCCTGTCCCCCACAGGCATAAGAATCGAGGGGAGCTGGGGGTCCTACCCTTTCCCCTCCCAGAGGCTTTCAACCTCTCTCCTTCCTGTCTGGCTGCTTCTTGGAGAATGCTGTGGCTTGGGCTGTCTCAGTCTCCAAGGGGATGGGTGACTTATGTCCTTTTATTCAGCAAACAGCTTTGTACAGAATGAATGCAACTTGCTGAATGTCACCATGCGGGGGCAGGGGAGTCGTGTGGAATCCCAATGAAGCCTTTCAGTCCTGGGCGAAATGGCACCGGTGACGTGGTTATTGTGTGTTCTCCCTGGTGGGAGTAAGGAAGAGGCAGAGGATCCGACAGATATCAGGACAGTTGGCTTGAGTGGCAGAGAAATGCCAAAACCCACAGCGCCTGGCTCCCCTGCTAGTGCCTGCCTCTTCCTGCTTCTCCACCTTCTTTCTCTTGGCACTTTGTAGGTCAGCGTACTGCAGACTTGGGGGAAGAGGGCTCCTTTCTGTGTACAGAGGCTAGTGTGCCGAGACCTCAGAGCCCAAGCCGGCATGGCTGCAGAATAAAGCACCAGGGACCGAGGCATTGAACTGGGGCTCAGCTCTGTACTCAGTCCTCCCCAAACCCACAATGCCCTCGGGAGCTTATCCACCCCCTGCCTCCCTTTCCACACCTCGCTTTTCCATTCTTCTCTCCCAATTGACACTTGGGTCTGTAAGTTCCCTGAGGCCATGAGCCACTCCTATTCCTCCCCCATTCTCCGCCCCCCCCCCCCCACACACACGGGACGGCAGGCTCAGCCCCATTTCCAGCACATGGTAGGCACTCAATGTTTACTGAATGAATGATGAATGGTCATCTGGTTCTTCCATGAACTTTGGTGCCAACGCTGCCCTGGAGCCCGAGGGATGCTTTGGCAGGAGGACAGAGCCGGACCTTTATGTTCAGGGCAGATGACTCTGCACGATGCCAGTGTGCTACGAATGCAATGGGAACAATGATAGATTCACAGGAGTTGGAGGGACCTCTGAGGTCACACAGCCCAACACTCTGGCTTTATAGATGAGAACACTGAGGCCTAGAGGCAAAGTGCCTTCCAAAAGCTACACAGCCTGTTAGAAGCAGAGCCAGGTTCAGAGGAGGGCTCTTTTTCTCAGGTCCAGCCATCTCTCCCCCCCCCCCCCCCCCCCCCCCCCCCCCCCCAGGCCTCGCTCTGCCTTAGCTGCTAGCCCAGTCCCTAGCCTAGGTCCCCTGACAGCACAGGTTGCATGGCTGGTCTGAGTCTCCAGCCCACACACTCTGTCTCCCAGGGAGGGTGGAAATTAGTTTCCATTGTGCTGCTCAGCATGACCTGGGCTGGAGAAAAACCCTGTGTTCCCAATACTCTAGGCCAATGTGAGGCTGACAGGTTAAAATCCTAGGATCAGGCAATACCAGGACTTGGGACACAGAAGGTCAGGGACTGTGAGTGAAGCTTGGAGACAAAGCAGGGTCACCCAGGGGGTTGGAGCATCTGAAAGAACAAAGCCATAGGGAACAACACCTCCACTCACCCCACTACAAAACGGAAGGGGGGCAAAAGCCAATGAAAAAGCCAGAGAGGTGAACCAGATGGAGGAAAAACAGGGGAAGGAAGGCACCTGGAAAACTCGATCTTTCTCTTTCTATTTTCCTGTTTCCCGGGGCACCCTACACAGCAGGGGTGTGGTAAAGGGGAAGAGGAGCCAGAGGCAGAGGGAGAGGAAAGGAGGGTGCAGGGAAATGCTGCACATGCATTGGTTTACTTTCCTTGGGAGGCATTCAGAGCATCTCAACCATCTGAGAGGGACAGCAAGTTGTCCAAGGCCACTGAGAGTCACAGGCAGGAGCTGGGTTCTGCCAACTAAGGGCCATCTGGGGATATCATGGTCCCTCAGATGGATCCAAGCCCCCACTCTCTGACTGTGCTCAGTTAGAGACAACCACCCTATCAGTGAATTTAGGAATGTGACAAGGATTCCAGAGGGCAACTGGTCTACCCCTCATAATCCAACATCCCTACTTTACAGGCAGGGAAACGCAGGCCCAGAGGGCAGTGACTTACCAGAAGACACAGCACCAAGACCACCCCTGAACTAAGCCAGGTCTCTGACATTGACAACCTTGCCAGACAGGTTGGGTGACTTCCACGCTTCCAAAGCCTTGATCAGGAGCCCTCTGCCCCTCTGTAGCAGACCCTTGCTGCTCCAAGAGCAAGGACAAAGAGGAGAGGTTCTCCTAGCACCCTAGGGAAAAACTCCTGCTGACTGTACCCAAGGAGAAAGAGGGGAGGGAAGTGGGGATGGCTCCCTATAGAATAATGACCTTCAAGAACATCTGAGCCTAAGGGGCCTAGTGGAAGAGAGAAGGAGCATCAGGGAGTGGTGGGGGCCTGGAGCAGACTTCCTAGGACCTCACCCTCTCTTTGCCAGGGGAGGGGTGCTCCAGGGCCTGCTCCTCAGCCCCAAGTAATGCCACCTCTGCCCTGCATCTCCAGAAGGGGAGCGAGTATGAAGAGACTCTGCCCGTCCACACCAACAAAGCTGAGCACTGGCAAAAGCAGCCCCTCACCTTACCCCCTATCTATTAGACTTTAAAGCAATTTTCTTTGTTGTGATTCGGGTGGTCAGTGTTTTCCTGCTCTAAAAACCCTCAGTCTAACCCCCCCCCTTTTTTTTCTGCCTCATGTTTGCCTCTACTGATATGAAAACGACCCTGGTTGGGGAGCAGACAGATGCTTGTGGGGGGTCTGGGGTCTGAACAGGTGGCAGGGAGAGGGTGGGCTGAGGGCCTGTTCCCCAGGCCGAGATGGCCCCAGCACCAACAGCCCTCTTCTCTTCCAGGCTCATTCTTTTGCCCCTGAGGGTGGCAGAGAGGGTGGTCTTTTTATTACCCTTGACCATTTTTGTACCAATGGTACTCTGTGCACGATGTGCCCAATAAATAGAAGACTTTGTAGGGGAAACAGGCTGGTCAAAATGTGGAGACTGGCTAAAGGTCATGGATATTCTGGTTCCTGGGGCCAATCAGGAAGCTGCTAGGACTGGGGAGAGGATTTCTTGGAAATGACCAAGATTTCAGAGGTCCCTTTCTCTTCCCTGAGTCCTTCCCCAGCTGAGATTCCCCTACTCCTCTGGACATCCTTGCGGGGAGAAGGGGGTGTGGAGTAGAGTGGAGGGAGAGTGCCAGGAGGGCAGGGCACTCACTCTAGGACATCGTGGTTGAACTGCTTCTTGTTGTTGCCCAGGAACTCTCCAATCATTTGCCGGCTGAGGCCTTTACGCTGGAGCAGGAAATGGGCCACTCCGATGGGGGTATCAGGGATGAAGCCACGTGAGATCAGGAACTGGATGCCCTTGTCCGGGTTTCTGGGGGTGCGGATGGGGGTGGGGAGAAGGAATAGAGAGTGAGCCAAGGCCATCCATGACTTCTTTTTCTGTTCTTCCAGCCAATTGAACCCAAAATAGTGCCTGGAGGTCCTTGGAAAGAATTTTCAGGAAATGCCAGGATTCCTTCCTCCACAGAGGGCTTCTCCATCAGAATCACCTTTCACCTGAGCCTCACTCTCCTGAACCTCCCCACACAGGAGTGAAGGTCGTGTGGGGCAGGAACGGGGGGAGGGGAAGTCTGGCCAAGCAAAGTGAATTCCAGAGCAGGTGAAGAGGTGTCCTCTTTCTTTTGGCCTCACTCCCATGGATCTCATCCTGAGGTCCCCAAGGCCAGCCAAGAGGTCCCTAAAGTCCTTTCTGCCTGCATCCTGCTGTCTACATGCAGTACCCACCCTGGAATCTGGAGAGGATGAGATTGGGAAACAGCAGTGAGATCTCCCCCACACCCCCTCTTTCCTGTGGATGGTGGATACACAAAAATCCTGCTCCCCAGCATTTACTTTCTCAGGCTTGAGTCTATGTGTGGGTGCGGGTGCGGGTGTGGGTGTGGGTGCTGTGTCTTAAGGCAATTGTGCTCACAGTTTGGTCTGCAAATCCACGCTGCTCCCTGAACTGTTTTTTACTGGCCCAGGAGAATATAAGTACAGAAATAGAGGGTAAGCATTTAGAACCTTTTATAGCACTTTGACATTTTCAGGACAACCAAGCATGTGATTGTTTTTCTAGCAGTTCATTTTTATTGTAGTTTATAAAAGTATTGACCCACAATGTGTTGGGTAAAAACCCAAACTGGTCCTTCACCACAGATAGTTTGAGAACCACTGTCTCGAGGGATCCAAGTATCTGTGTGAGCATTTGTGTGCATGCCGAAGTGATGCTGGGGTGTGTCCAGTGGGGGCTGCTCACCAGGACGGCAGCCTGAGATAAAAGAAAAAGCAATGGATTGGGAGTCAGACAGATCTGGCTTTACCTAAGCCTGCTGCTTACTAGCTGTGTCAGTGTGCAACTCACCTTACTCTATGAGCCGGTTTCCTTTCTGTAAAATGGCATAACAATGTTCTCTCTAACACTGTTGGGAAGATTGCAGATGCTTTATGAACAGTAACTGTGCTCCCCAGGATATACGCTTCTGGAGACCAGGGGATGTCTTACTCATTTTTGTGGTCATGGTGCCTGGCATTCAAAAAATAATGCATGTGGGCAGGAGGGATGTTGTATTTCCTGGCTCAGGTCTTTGACGAAAGGGCCAAGTGGAGGGTGGAGATCAGTGCCTCATATACTTGAAATTTCCATGTGTGTGCCCTCTGCTTGCCACCAGCTCTATACATTCTGGTTGCAAGAAAAGGTTGGGTGTTCTGGCTGTGGGCTCTGACAGTCAATTCTCTCCCTCCTTCCATTCCCCTTCTCTGTGTACTACACCCCTGCTTGCTTCGCATTCTCTTTCTGTCTCCCTCCACCCCTTTTGTCCCACACCCTCTTCCACTTTCTACCTGTACTCCTTAAAGCAGGTCTCTTCTCTTTCCCCCACCCAGTCCCTCACTCACCTTTCCTCACTTTCTCCTTTGCTCACTGTCTGTTTCTCTCTTCATCAACCCCAGGGGATTGTGTGTCCCTAACTTCATATCTTACCCGAGGGATTTCTGCTCAATCCTCATGTTACCCGTACTATTATTTACTTAATATTGTATTTTTTTTTAAAGTCTCTGACTTTTTGAACTCTAGCTTCATTTTAAGCAGTAACAGTGGTGAAAGCATGGGTTTGAGATGCTATTTTGTTCCTAATTTTTCTTAAAATAAATGAATAACAAGTAAAAGTAAAATCTGTATTTGTACACAGTATCTCAAGGAGCAGGCATGGCACCGATGCCATCTGGGAGGACACTGGATGACGGGCTAAATTACCCGGCACCCCGCTAATCCGTCTTCCCTCCCTCCAGGGCCCCTACTCCCCCCACC